ACGGTGAATGTGGTTGGGTAGCGGTGGGCCTCAGACGGACCAACATAGTTGCATGCAATATTGCATAGCCCGAGGCAGATATCAGCAGTTTGGTTCTCATAACCAAAGTCCGAACGATCAATTGAATGCGCTTTATAAAAGCTTCTGCCAGGCCGTTTTGGGTGTGGACATGGGGTACAAGATGTTCCACATCAATTTCTACTGACATGTAATAATCGTCAAAAGTTTGTGACGTAAATTCTCCAACGTTATCCAGTTGAATCGACTTAATCAGATAATCAGGGTGGTGAGCCCTTAGCTTAATGATTTGAGTTAGGAGTTTAGCAAACACGACGTTACGTGTGGACAACAAGCAAACATGTGACCATCTTGTTGATGCATCATCCAACACCATAAAGTATCTAAATGGTCCACAGGTTGGTTGGATAGGTCTATAAATGTCCATTTGAATCCTCTGAAGAAATTTAGGGGGGTCGTGAATAATCTTTGTATGGGAGGGTTGAGTATTCAACTTCCCTAGAGAACACGCTTTGCATGGTGGGAGTCCAACATAGGGATGTAACTTATGCATGTGCGAAGATTTGAGGATACGGCGCATCATGTCACGTCTAGGATGTCCCAAACGGTCATGCCAAAGCAACAAAGTGTCCTGAAACTTATGCATAGGGTCGACCACACTATGGGCTTCTATGCTGCGATTGGTTGTGATGTACAACCCACTCGGCAGACGTTCCAACTTCTTGTGAATATGCTTCTGGGCATATTCGTATGAAGTGATACAAAGAAATTCAGAACCATTAACTTCAGTGGTTTCAATATGATATTGATTATCTCGAATATCTCTAAAACTCAGCAACGTTCTTCCGGAACACGGAGAATATAGTGCCTTCTTAATGGTCAAGCTTGTACCATTGGACAACATGATACGTGCCTTTCTGTATCCTTCAATCAGGTTGGATGGGCCTGAGAAAGTTATCAATGGATCTTTCTTGGGTATTAAGTTAGTAAAATAGTGTCGTTTACACAATATGGTGTGCGTGGCTGCACTATCTGCCAGACAACTAACTTCCTTACTAGACATACCTAGAAATAAATTGATTGAATTGGTCACATGTATAAATATAAGTCCATTCATTTAATTAAGCAATTCGAGAAAAAAATATCCATTTAAATAACAATCCATAATTCAAAACAAACCAAAACCAAACAAATTATTCCAAATAATTTAGAAAAATTGTTCAAAATTAAACCATAAACCTAGAAAAATAGGGGGTAGGGCCGGCCACTCCTAGTGGGTTCGGCCACTAGGGATAAACACCCTAAAAATATGTCTAATTTATTCATCCATAGGCGATGACGTCTCCTGAAAATCCAATATCTCCATTGATGTAGTTGCATCTTCCAGATGATCCACATGTGCAAAGTTAGACTCACGATGGGAATGATACTTGGCAATAGCCTTAGGGGAAGCTCGGCATACGCGTGACCAATGATCCCTTGATCCATAGCGATAACACATGTCCCGTTCAGTAGAAGCAGGCTGAAAGGGAGCTTTGCCCTTGTTCTTGAAGTTTGGGGACTTAGGGGTGAGTGGTAGACGCTGCTGGGTCACATTTCTTCCTTTAGGTGCGGCACTCTGTTGACCTTGGGCCTGTGGTGGGGCTTACGGCGCATTGCCACGGTTACGATGATTCTTTCATCGTTTATGGCTGCTAGAATTAATTGCATGCGCTTTAGGTGCGGCGTTCGAGCCAATCGGTCGAGCTTGATGATTCTTCATAAAAAACTGGTTCTATTTTTCAGCGAAAAGTAAAACAGAGATCAAATCCGAAAACTTGGTGAATTTATATGCTCTATATTGTTGCTGCAGGATAATATTGGTGACATGGAAGGTTGAATAGGTATTCTCCAAGAGATCTGATTCAGTTAGTTCCACTTTACAGAATTTCAACAAAGAACGGATTCTACAAACTTCAGAGTTGTATTCATTCACGGACTTAAAGTCCTGGATGTGAAGATGCTGCCAGTCATGTCTTGCTTCAGGCAAGTATATGTTTTTTTGGCGATCAAAACGGTCAGCCAGAGCAAGCCAGAGGGTGCGTGGGTCCTCCTCAACGAGATACTCAGTCTGCAGTGCATCATGGATGTGTCTTTAAATGAAGATCATTGCAGTAGCCTTCTGAGCTTCGTCAACAGGTTTGTCGGCAATAGGTGTCTCAATGGTGGCTCTAATACCCTTTGCAGTTAGATGAAGCTTCACGTCTTGAACTCACTTTAGATAGTTTCTTCCAGAGACTTTTAGAGCGGAGAAATCGAGCTTGTTCAAGTTCGACATGTCCTTAAAATAGAGGAAAAAACGTGAGTAGTCCTATGGTAAGCCATAGACATATATCATAGAACATACAAGTTCTATAGACATGTATTGGTTTAATTTATAGATGAAAACTACAGGTTTCATGTGGTATGTTTTGAATAAAAACTTCGGGTTTCAAATGCACTAAATTTGAAACTACATGTTCAATTTAGTTTTATGAACAATTAGTTCATAATGAAAGGTTCCTGCAAGAAACACACAATGCAATATACTAATTTGAATATAGTGGATTTGAGGTTTTTTGGGAACTCAAGTTTGAGAGCTTCGTTACTATGAAAGTATGTGATGGTTCAAAGTATAAAAATAAATTATTGAATCGTTAATGTCCAAAAGTGATCTTTAGGTCAATAATTTTGGATTCATTATTAGATTAATAGACTGCAGGTCATTTTTAACTAATTCAATAAATCGAGCCATACGGGGTCGATTGTAGAAGCTAAATAATATTAAAATAATATTATTGGATCGAAAACATAGCATAGCCCAAAGAAGGGCTGTGTATCGTGAGCAAAAGAGCTCGAGTTGGCTGCTCAAAGCAGCCCTTGGGGTGGCTACAGGCCACTGGTCTAGAGGGTAGGCCCAAAAACCTACGGGGTGGGAGAAAAAACCCTAATTGTAGCTAGGTTTCATGTTTGGGTCAAAAGGGGGACACGGGTCAGGTCCAACGAAAGCTAGCCTATGTGTTTGGTCCGAGAAACCCAGCCAAAGCTAGGTTTCTATGTTTTCGATCTGAGGCAACCTAAGGCTAGCAACCAAAGTTGCTGGCAAGTGGGCTGAGATTGGGGCGAAGCTCAGTGAGTTCACGGGCCAAAGGACGCTGGACAATGAGCCAAAATCTGCTGGTATTTTAGACTTAGGGATTATGGGCCCTATAAATAGAGGTAGGCCGAAAGGCCTAGTAGTCTAGGTCAGTGCAGCAAGGCCATAGGGTTGCTACCATGAGGGGTCTAAGGTGTCAATTCCTCAGCTTCTGGCAAGAGCTTGCTGATAACATGTTGTAGGCTTATTTGATTGAACGATCTAGGGTTTAGAGAGAGAGGGGGGGCTGGCTATGGTTAGAGAGAAGAGAGAGTGATTTAATTATGAGGTGTGTTTGATACACCCATTGTGCTTTTATTTATAGTAGTAGAATATGTAAAAACCTTTCTCTTTAAGATTACAACATTGAATAGGTAATCTACTCTTAATAGGAATATAAGATACATTCCCAGATTCTCTAGAATTTACACAATCACATTTCTATTCTAAATATGACTGCAACAACTATAATTTTACATGGATTATAATTTTGGTTTTTTTTTTTTTTCAAATTTCCCTATTCAGATCAGAAAAGGAGGAGAGGAATGAATGAGGCCTAAAATTACATAAAGGGTCCCACTATGTTCCTTTTGATATGATTAATGGCAACTGAAGCTTCTGCATGCACTTGAACATTGTATATATTTTCATATTTTCTAACTTTAACAATTGACATTGTGATGGTCTATACTAATACTTATAGCCTAAAGCAATTAATTTGTAAAATGCTAAAAGCATAGCATGGCTATTGAGAAGGTTTTGGGTTGAGACTAAAAGCATAGCAAGTTTCTCTAGTTTGTATTGGCAAAAGTTGCCTAGACATAATCTACTTGCAAGTTTCAACACAACGAAATGAAAGATATACGGAGAATGTTAGCGACGTTTCCATTTATACCTTCTTCTATCTTTTCTCGTTTGATTCCATAATAGGTTATAAGAACTTGCAGCGGTGGATCCAAAAAAATTTATTCACAGAGGTAAGAAGCTCCCAATATTTTTGTAAAAGAAAAAAGGCTACATTGGCCACCAATAAGCTGCTTGATGCATTTTGACAAATTTTCCCGCACCTTGACTATTTTAGGCTTCACTTTAGATATCTTGCATAATCATAATGCTTTAGATTACGTGGGACATGAAGAACCAAGAGGTATCTCGTAAGTTCATAACAATATCATTGTAATTAAATTGAACAAAAAGTGTCATGCAATGAGTTTATAGCTCAGACGAAAAACATTCACTCTTGTATAGTATATATAAAAGGAGGGGTGTGATATCCACACACCCCTTTTTATTCATCCTACACTTTTTTGGTTTTCGACCGTCAAATCGGATAAATTGAAGAAAATCAACGAATAAAAACTAATAAAGAATGTGTCAGAAATAAAAAAGGATGTGTGGATATCACATTCCATAAAAGGAGTGCGTTCGATTGCTTCCACAGTTCCACTAGGAGTAGTCTAGACCATAGATGACTTTACAAGAATAGATGGCCTGGCCCAATCAAAAGAGTGCATGGTAGCCAGCCATAGGGACAAAACAATGGTAGGTATACATAGCCCAGTCAAATCCTTTGCCATAAAGTATAGTCTAACCATCTCAATACCGTGCAGTTCAATCCTTCTAGATTCACTTCATACGAGTCAATACAAGTCGACGGTTCACAATATTAAACTCAATGGTCATTGACGTTTGCAGTGCATTTTAAGCGGTCAATAAAGAAACTTCAACGTAGGTTGCAGGAAACTTCCAAGTTCCGATGTGCTTTACTGCTTTTAGGCTCGTACTTTCTACACTACTGCTCTATCAACTTGCTCCTTCTATTTATACCCCCTCATTGGATTTCCTTCAAGTCTAAGTCTTCCACACAATCTTCATTTTCCTAGGAAAATCTTCATTCTCCCAGGAAAGTATTCCCTTTTTCCAGCAAAAGAAATTCAGTTCTGCAAATAAAAAACTCATGGGGAGGACTGGATTGTTTGATCTTGAAAAGCAGTTTGCCTTCTATGGAGCATATCACAACAACCCAATTAACATTTTCATACACACTTTCTTGGTGTGGCCATTGTTCTTCACTTCTGTTCTTCTTTTCCACTTCACACCTTCTCTCTACAGTTTCCCAGTTTATGGCCTCGAATTAAATTTGGGGTTTGTTTTCACTTTGGCGTATTGTCTGTATTATGTCAAATTGGACAAGAAAGCTGGGTCCTTGGCAGCTTTGATTTGTATTCTCTGCTGGGTTGGAGCCAGTATTCTTGGCAGTGAGCTAGGGTTTTCTAAGTCGTGGAAGGTGGTTCTGGGTGGTCAGTTCTGCAGTTGGGCTGGACAGGTCGTAGGCCATGGGATTTTTGAGAAGAGGGCCCCTTCAGACAACTTTCTTGAAGGACTTCTAACAGGGCCGTACTTTGTGTTGCTTGAGCTTCTTCACTTAGCTTTTGGGTACGAGCCCTATCCAGGGTTTCAAAAAAGTGTGAAGGCAAAGATTGAAGCTGATATCAAAGATTGGAAGGCCAAGAACCAAAAGAAAGTCTCCTAGTTAATTTAGCTGGTCTGAGATATATGAATGTACTAATAATATTCTATTAGGTTATATTTTGTATCTAAATTTGTCGACTCGAATCTATAATTTCCACCAATCAGTTTGATGGACTTATAGTCTTATACGATTGTAAGAGTAATTTTTGCAGTGTAACCGTCGCAAGATTTCTTTTATAACAACTAGCTTATATGAAAGTTTCAGTTTTTAAGGTCTTGTCAGATATTGTTTGGTTTCTTGGGAAGTTTGCTTTGCTTTTCAGATTATCTCTAATGGGGATCCGGCTTGTCTGCCCTCCCACTTCCCATATACTTTTATCTTCTTCTATTTTGTGTGATCACAGTTAAATCACGTTAATATTTTATATTAAATTTTTTTTATAGAGATAATAAGATAAAAAGTAATAATAATATAAAATGTTAACGTAACTTAACCGTACAAATAAAAGAAAATATAAGTGTATGAGAAATGGAAGGGCAGAAAAGTTAGGTCCCTCTAATGGTCTAGCTAGTTGATTTGTTAATGAAACTTGCACAAGGGAATCTTGTGTTGGTTACAATATGACTTTGCGAAGCAGTTGAAGTTGGACTGGCTGTCAACTTTTTATTGGATGAGGATGTTTTATATTTAATGACACACAAACGAAACAAGATAATGACGACAAATAATAATGATAATCTAAACTATATTAATGTCAATAAAAAATGTGAAAGGTAATTTAGTATTTTATCACAAAATAAAATTAAAGGTAATAAAATAATTTTACCCAACTTAAATTTTATATTTTTTAAAGTTTCACTAACAGGTGATACTAACGTATTTCTGAATTAAAGAATAAAAAATAAAAGAATCTCTCCCTACCCTACTTCCATGTTCTCTCTCATTCCCCCTTAAAAAAAATGTTCACTGGAAATTTGTGTAGACATATGCTAGTAGTAATTTGTGTAGGCATATGCTACTAGTAGTAATTTGTGTAGGCATAATAGTGGCTAATTAATAGTTTTCACTTTCAAATTTGAAGTGATTTTTAAAATGAGTAATTAATAATAATAATAATGGCTAATTAATAGTTTTCACTTTCAAATTTGAAGTGATTTTAAAATGAGTAATGAAGTTTTAATTTTTTTTCATATTGCATCATGTGATTTTGAAATTGTATCGATTTACATATTTTGTTTCTTTGAATTCTCAAATAAATTAAGGGAATTTTTTTCCGTTAAAACCACGAAGTCAACCCTATTCTAGTATTGCTACCATGGAAAGTGACAATGAAGTATCTTTATTAAAAATAAAAAAGAAGGAAAATACAATCTATCAAAGGGACAAAAAGCCTAACATTGACCATAATAACACTCATTAACAAATAAAACCTCGAACAACCAATATAAAATATAACACGGCCAACAAAAGTTCGGTAGTGTGGAAGCCTACATAGTCACTTTGATAACATGGCAAAATGAAATCAGGAGGAGAATCCCGAACAATGCATGTAGAAGAGGAATCATGATTTGCAAGGGCATCAACAACTTGATCACCTCCCCTATAAATGTGAGAAGACCGAAAATACATTTGGGAAATTTTATGCAAGCAATTCTTCCACGAATTGAGGAGAGCTCAAGAAATCAAGAATCAAAACAGAATAAGCCGCCAACCAAATAAAATTCCAATCCCAAACTGAAGCTAATTCAATAGCATTGATTATAGCTATTACCTTCATTGCAACACAGCTAGGAATCTTCAAAGTTAGAACAAAAGGCGCCAAGGAACTAACCTTTGAAATCCCGAAACACACCAACATAACCAGCATAATAGTGACCAATCTTGCAAGCACCATCAATATTTAACTTAACCCAACCAGGATTGGGAGGAATTCAACACACCTCTAAAATGATGGGGGCTCGATGAGGCATACATGTAGCACCAAACCTCTTCAACACACATAAAGCGCGAACATCGTTATTCATAAAACCAGACCGCATTCTATTGGAATAATGGATCTGACCATAAGCAACATTAACACCAAGTCCTTCACGCCGAGCTTGGTTTCTCAAGTACTATACACACACAAAGTAGAAACAAAAGATGCCAACCACAAATCTCGTAATTGTGAACTTTTATTCAAGGCTAACTAGTGGTGAAAGCGCTCTAATAAGGAGCCATGAAGTGTAACCAAGCCAAAAGAATCCCAAATATGCTGCCAAATTGACATGGTAAAAGTACATATAACAAAAACATGCTCAAAAGATTTTATATGCAAACAACATAAAACATATGTAGATGCCATAAAAATTTCGCGTCTTTGCAGCATGTCCTCAGTCAAAACACGACCACATAAAACTTCCCATGCTAATATAGACATTCTAGGAGGAATAAATTTAGACCAAATCAATCTCCCCCAACCATCAAACGGCAAACGAGGCCTTGAGAATGATATGCATCACTAGCAGAGAGCTCACCTGAAGGAGAGGGTTCACAAATTACCATATCGGATCCTTAGCCAGCCATGCATGGAAATAAGTACATATTTCCGAAGAAACTCGCAAATAACAGGAAAGTGCAGTTGAAATTGGAGCAAAAGACCAAACACCTTCATTAATAATATGAACATTCGTGTCCTCAAGACTATCAACATCATCCCTTCTAACACCAAAAAGATCAAACAACGGTGATCCAACAAAATTCTCTCAAAAATAAATCTTTTCACTGGAAACCCACTAACCATCTACTTTGCTCAACAAATAGAAGACAAATGTTTAAGACCTAAACCACCTTCCTCCTTATGCACACAACAATGCTTCCAAGCAATCAATGACAAGGGAAATTTTTTCGAATGTCATATGAACTTATATATATTTTTTAATTTGTCATATGAACTAAAAGTTTAAGTAATTTGTCATATGAATGTTCTGAAATCGTTAATTGTCATCTCAACTAACTCCATTAAATTTTCCATCCAAAAGAATGTTATTTTGGATTTTTTACCTTAGTTTTCACAATTTTTTTTCATTTATTTATTCATTATTTTTATACAATGATATATGTACAAAGGGTTGGGCGATAAATTGGTTTTCAACTTTTGACTTCTTTTATATAAGTTCTCTACTTATATTTTAGAGCATCCTCGTGATGAAATGTCCAATTATTTTATCTACATGAATGACTAAAAGATCTTCAGATTGAATTATTTTTTGCACATATGATCTTTAAATGATGAAAAGAGAATGAATGTTTCTAATTATGATGTTTGGACTATAGAAGCAAAAATTCGCCGCCTTTAGTCTTGATAAATTTGTACTATTAACTCCTTTAATCAAAGATCAAAGCCTCACACACCGACAAGGTGGGTGGGGGTGGGGAATGGGGATGGTTGGTCAATGGATCTTCCATGCTTAAGTTAATATCTTTGAAAAGAGTGAAGTGTTTAGAGCTTGTATGCGTAGCAAAAAGCATACCAAACACTACTACAATATTAGCTTTAGGTGGCGGATATTAGAAAAATCATGTCGGATAAATTATATCCGACACATTATTTAATTAGTGGCGGATATTAGAAAAATCATGTCGGTTATATCCGACATAAATTCCTGGCAGATATAAAAAAAATCATGTCAGTTATAACCGACAGTATTTTTGAATCTTTTTTTAAAAATATTTTTGACAGATTATGGCAGTTTTTAAGTTAATGGTAGCGGTTATAACCGACAGAAATTGACTATTTTATTATTTTACTTTTTGGCGGTTATTATTTTAGTATTCTAGCGGTTATAACTAACAAAAATGAAAATAAGATTTTGTGGTATCCATTAGTGTAAATATTTTAAATTGAAGATCGAATTCGTTCATTGCATTCTTATAGGGTCGAGGAGTATAGCTGTAAAAAAAATCATCAAAACTGGAGCTAAAATAACTGTTAAATTGTGGTTTTTCGTTTATAACCGACGAAAACTTTTGTTCCGTTACCTAATCTCTGAATTTTTTTCTTTTTGTGATTTTTTACGTATGCGATCTTGTAGTATCTACAAACAAGTTTGACCGTTAGATCTTTGAAACTAGTTTTGTAGAATGTATATCTCCGCTAAATTTGCCTAAATTTTGAAGTGTGAAAAGTAATTTGTGCTAAATTTTTATTTATGTTTTTCAAGTATTGATTAGACAATATTTAGTTTGTGGGATGACATTTTCATTGTACAATTATCTTTTTGTTTCTTTATTGCATATTTTACATGGGTTATTATCTATTAAACCAAACAATTATTTATTTTTGACAAAAAAAAATTATTTATTTTGTTGATACACAAAATCAGTGAGAACTTTGGTACAACAGAAAGTGTCAAGTTTGTGACCTTCGCTAGATTGCTCCGGTCACTAGTGTGGATAAGTATGTAAATGGATAGAGACAGGGAAGCAAACACAAGATGTACGTGTTTCACCCAGATTGGCTACGTCCACGAAGTATAGGAGTTCTCATTAATTGTGAAGGGTTTACACAAGTACATAGGTCCAAGCTCTCCTTTAGTGAGTACAAGTGAATGATTTAGTACAAATGACATTATGGATTATTGTGGGAGAATGATATCCTTTTATAGAAGAGAGTTTCTAGCTTTGTTCTGACATTGATACATGTCGTGTTGTGATTGGCCTTTCTAGCTTTGTTCTGACATTGACACGTGTCGTGTTGTGATTGGCCTCTGATATTGACACGTGTCGTGCTGTGATTAGCCTCCTGGTTGGAGGAAAACTCTTCTTGATCATTGACGGTATAACGTTGACCGATGCTTGGTACTTTCGGGATTGGTCAAGTATAGTACAAACATATTTAATTTTTAAAAACGTATTCTACTTAAATACATATTATTTATTTATTTATTAAACCAAACAATTATTATTTTATTTTTTAAAATCATAACAAAATTTTTGGGGGGAATTTTTCCGCCATTTTTGTTATGTCGGTTTTAACCAATAGGAATGAAAATTTTCTGTCGGTTTATATTTAAAAAAATGTTTTTGTCGGTTGTAACCAATAGTAATGAAAATTTTCTTATACCCACATCCGACCCCCACTCATCTCCTTTATTTTTCTGAAACCTAACTCTAAATCTTGACACTCTCCCTCTTTCTAAGCTCTGAGAAGGAACCCCTACCATTCATCTCAATTCTGACCAAATCAACCCTAAAAAATTTGAACCTCAAACCTTTGGGACATGGGGAATCAACCT